TTATACCTCTAGATGACCGGAAATGGCACTCTCAGACTTAAAATTTGAATATAATTTTCCTTTTTTCTCCATTTCGTTTTTATTTTGAAAAATTTAAGGAGGTCCAGGCTGACTTTCCCCCCCCCCCACCAACCTTGAATCCACCACTGCCAAGTATCGCAACATGAACATGCTGATTTTAGTGTTGTAACTTGTACTCATAACACTGACCTGGTTCAGTGCATAGTTTTAACAAGACAAATACAATTATTTATCAAACTTTTTGCCATGCTGATGATAAATTTGAATACAAATAAACTGTTTTGTTTTTTCTCTTAGTGCATCCCATACATACAGTTCATTTAAAATAAAATGAAATTTCAGAAAAATAAGAAAAATTAATAGTTACTTCGCTTTATTATAATACGGTAAGCGATGTCACAAGTAATTTAACAACTGAAGCATGAATCCAAGCACTCAAATTGTGTACTACAGTACATTGTATTCTGTATGATCATGATGCAATAGGAATAGGCGAGAGCCTAAATACAGAAAGGGCAGTGGCCTCTATTAAAAATTATTGCCTCACCTCGCATTATCTTATTCAATAAACTTAATATTTTATTTCCGCACATAATAAAATAAAATATTTAGGCATATCATTGTCTTGTATTGTATATTTTTTATTTTTTTTGTGAATAAGAGATACCAAATATATACTATATCAGTAGGTTAATTAGTTATACCGGATCATTTCTTATAGAATTTTCTCTATATGAAATTGGCATACCAGTACCAAAGTTTTTCTTTATTTTTATTGTGCCTTCCGCTGTTTCGAAATCTCAAAATAAGATACTGTATGGTATTTTTTCCTAATTATATTCAAGTTCAACTGTATTCGCTAAATAAAAAAAACAAAATATACATTTTTCAGTTCTGAAAATGTCTAATATAATTAAACAAATCTGTTTCATGTTGAAATAATTTGATCAATAGTTATTTCAGCATGTTTGTTTATTATATTTAACAGCGTATGTCACTCTTTCAATCGTATTAAGGAGTCACCCATCTTTCCATAATTTTAACAAGAGCACAATTAACCAATACACTAGTGGGAAGAATCAACAGCATACAGTAAATAGTACTCTATTTATACAGTAAATAATGGAGAAAAAAGATGATCTCAAAATGACAAAAATCATATATTGATTGTGCACTCTGTTGGGGAGGGAGGAAGTCACAGAATTAAAGTATGATTTGTGCTCACTTGTAAATGAGGAAGCAAATCCTAAATGAGGAAGCAACTTCAAAATAATGGATGACTTCTGGGGTCATTCATCCATTTTTCAACATTTTTACAAGAGTACAAAACACTCCCCCCCCCCCAAAAGAATGCACAACAAAATGATTGTTTTTGTCATTTGAGGTCATTACCCTTTTCTTTATCATAAATCTACCCCCTATTCAAGTTCAACTGTATTCGCTAAATAAAAAAAACAAAACTTTATTTTTTTTTCCGCCCTCCTCAGATGATCTTTAAAAAAGTAAGTTCGCGAAACAAGGAATAAAAAAAGTCACGCCTAATTTATGGTTGAGTTCAAATGATGAGTTTCCAAACTAAACTTCTGTGCTACAGGTTACATAAATTCCAGTGTGAGCATCACCTGCTTTAGAAAACCCTCTAGATTGTTTTGAAAGATGTACTGTGACTATGTATTTTCTAAGAATAAATATTACTTTTATTTTTGTCTTATTCTAGTAATGCTCCTAGTATGCTAGCTTTGGAGATTGCAAGGGAAACGGTTGACGCTGTGCTCAAAGTTGATCTGTCATCGTACATAGAGGAGAGGCAAGACTTTGAAGAGACAAGCATGTGTATGAGACATTTCAATCAATTTTAAAATGCTAATTTATATTGTGTTTAATCAAAGTCCTATTAACATTTTGCTGTGCATGCACATAAATCAATCAACTATGACATAATGCAGTTAATGTCTCCATTTTAAATGTGCTTGTCAATCAAATAGGGATTAACCTCATCCTTTCATCATAAACCATACAAAGTGAAAGCACCTAAGCTCATGAAATATACTCATGTACAGTTGAACTTGCCTAAATCGATTCCAAAATGCCATCGAAATATTGTTCGACTTAGATAAAATTAGACTTACAGATTGTTCATTAATGGTAAACACAACAATTTGGCATGTAAAATAAGATCGACTTAGAAATTATTCGACTTTCAGTGGGCACAGTTGACTAAAGGCAAGTTTAACTATAGTTACTGCTTAGAAGATTTTTCATGATGTTTACATCATCAATAGGGTCATTTGGTTTTTAGAATGTTTTCATTCATCCAGTAAATATTCAATAATGTTATCACTCATAGGTTGTACCTTAGATGTATTATAGTATATGGTTTTATGCAATATAATTACATAGTTTAATACACAATGCAGTTTGATGGCAGACATTTTCAACAAATATACATTTTTCAGTTCTGAAAATGTCTAATATAATTAAACAAATCTGTTTCATGTTGAAATAATTTGATCAATGGTTATTTCAGCATGTTTGTTTATTATATTTAACAGCGTATGTCACTCTTTCAATCGTATTAAGGAGTCACCCATCTTTCCATAATTTTAACAAGAGCACAATTAACCAATGCACTAGTGGGAAGAATCAACAGCATACAGCAAATAGTACTCTATTTATACAGTAAATAATGGAGAAAAAAGATGATCTCAAAATGACAAAAATCATATTTTGATTGTGTACTCTGTTGGGGAGGGAGGAAGTCACAGAATTAAAGTATGATTTGTGCTCGCTTGTACAGTAAATGAGGAAGCAAATCCTAAATGAGGAAGCAACTTCAAAATAATGGATGACTTCTGGGGTCATTCATCCATTTTTCAACATTTTTACAAGAGTACAAAACACTCCCCCCCCAAAAGAATGCACAACAAAATGATTGTTTTTGTCATTTGAGGTCATTTTCTTTATCATAAATCTACCCCCCCCCCCCATAGGCTTAGCCAGCGTTGTCATTTGAGGTCATTACCCTTTTCTTTATCATAAATCTACCCCCCCCCCATAGGCTTAGCCAGCGAGCCGTCCAGCTGTCGTTTGGACAGCCTACAATTATTTAGGATGGCCACTTTTAGAAGTGGCCTGATCAGCTCGGCCTAGCCTAATTGGGCCTGGTCTACCTTCAGCAAGTTCTTTATATTCTTCAAATCTATTGAATGTTACATTAAACTAAAGCTAAATCAAATTTATTTTTGATAAAAACAACATTTATTGATTGAATGTACATTGTTTTCTTACCAATATTCGGTGAGGATTCTCAAAGGTGGGTGTGGCCTGCCCATCGACTGAGTGCCACGCCCACTGGCTTCCATTTTGGACAGCCTATTTTGTTATTCTGGCTAAATCCCTGCCCCCCCCCCCCCCCCCCCTCTTCCACCTTCCGCTAAAGCGTATGTCTTGTACTCTTTACTTAGAGTATTTTGCTTGAAACTATGTAAGACATTAAGATTTGAAGTGTTGTTTGTTTTGTTTATTATGATAGTAATTTGTGCAGACAAGGTGGCAAAGGTGGTATTCAACAAGGTGCATGAGATATGTAAAGAATGGAAGGATAATCCTCCCTCTGACTACTCGCCTACACCTAAGGTGTCAACGCATGCAATCAAGAACACGCGCCGCAAAATGGAAGATAAACACATAACCATTCCAGACCTTAACAGACTAAGGAAGAAGGTATATTTAGCAGTTTATATTTAGCCTATTTGTTAACAATTTTTGTGATGATCACTGATGATGCATTTGAACCCTAACCACTTCGTTTATTTATATTCAGTTTGTATTGTCACTGCCCAGCAGTCCTGTGGCGGATCTAGAGGGGGTGAAAAAAAATAGTCACTTGTGGTGTGCTTCTCGTGTATACATATTACGTATAGTAGTTCAGGCTATTTATGTAACTTATATATTTCTTTATCAATTCTGTTTTTAATTTAAAGTAGTTTAAGATCATACCCTGGACCTCAGGGAAGAACAGTGTACTAATACTGACTGAGTATCCAGAATAAAGAAAGATTTCTATCTATCTATCTACTCTTGTAAAACAACATTTTATTTTAAAGCTTAACCTTTTTTCAGATGGCATCTTAGAGCGTCTAGCCGTCTTCCAATTCCAAAAATCTGAATTAGGAGGGATCGTTGCAAAATCCTAGATCCACCACTGCAGTCGCTAAAATGGGATCCACACTGTGCCCAGAAGGATGTGCAGATTTCTAGTCTCAAATCTCCCACAAGTCATGGGAGTCTCCCAAAAAAAGCCTACAGTACTTAATACAGTTTCTGAAAAACACCATATTTTCTCCCCTCTAATGCCATGGCATTATGGTTTTCTTGAAAATGTTTCAACAAAACTGCTGTGGATATGGATAGAAATTGGGATATGAAATTTAAAACAGCTACCAGCTAAAAGTCGATAACGTTTTAGATATTACAGTAATGTTGGAATACAATTTTTCAAAATTGCCAAAAAACCCCTTTTCAAATGCATAAATTTTAAATGGCCATCTCATAAAAGAATCTTTGAACTAAACATACAATGGATTTGTTTACAGTTATTTACTCATAAACTATACATATGATGGTTTTTGAAATTTTCTGAGGACATGGAATTAAACACAGGTGTAATAATTTACATTTTTCTTGGGTGAGAAAAGCCTTTGGGAACTGTAAAGTTTCTTTTTAATTCAAAGAAAAAGGCACTTTCAGTTGCTTGCAAAGGTCAATTATAATAGTAAGCAATCACAGACAATTCATCATAATATCAATTTCAATAATTTTAATAAAAATACTGCAGCTTAAAAATAATACAGTGCAAGTCTCAAAGTTATCTAAATAGTACACTGCTATATAGTACATAGCTTCTTTAAAAATCTGCCATATGTTAATAATTACTGTACTGTACGTAGATTGCTGTGACCTGATGATACAGTAGTAGCCGGTTTAGATAGATGATTCTTTTTAAAGACAATCACCAAACCCTAATAAATCCTTCCATATTAAGATATCCTCTTCATACTTTTAAATGACTTTCTTTATATAATATGCTCAATTGGTTAATGACAGATTTCAACGATATTGAATTCCTAGGATTAGATGTAATATTCAGCCTTTTACATGCTGGTTGGTGTCATTCAGATTGCTTCTAGCACTAGGTTTTAGCTACTGAGTAAGAGACTATATTAATTTAAAACACAACTCTGACTGGGCAAAAAAATGTGTTTTAATTATTTTTTGTTTTGTCTATTTTTTAAATATGGCACTCACATGAATTAATTTTCACAAACAAATTCTTGTAGTCTTGAAAGTTCTGAGGAGGGCCGCATAATGGAGGCAGTAGTGTATATTGGCCGTTAAAAGAAAGATCTAAATCAATCAGATTAATCAATCAGCCAAGTGTTTCTACCCGTACAAAAAAAAAACAAGATTAATCAGTCAGCTGAGTGTTTCTAGAGCTCCTCTGTAAACTCACAGGTGTTAATGTATTATTGGTAAAACAATCAGTAACAATCTGATATAAATATTAGCAGTTTCTCAAAATTCAGTGTCATATCAGCATAACCTAAGCCAGATCCAGAATTTTGTTGCTGGGATAGTTCAAGTTTTAATGGAAGACCTAAGGTCTGAAGGGAGTGGAGAATATGATTGAGAGCTAAAGGTTTTGGAGGGTTTCCTTTACCTATTGGAGTGTTTGCAGTGGCTGTGGTGGGCCTAGGAGATTCAGATTTTTAGTATAAAAGAATATGCAAGAATTTCATAGAATTTTTTTTCTTCCCTCCTGTGCGAGGGCCCTACCAGCACCTCCTCTGACTATTGAATGTTGAGGCTATGTTTTGACTGCATAATAAATCCTGTAAAGTCTTTTTGTGGTTGTTCATACTCTGGCCAGGTCATTATACTGTACACTGTTCAGTACCAGGAAAGTGAATCATTTAATAGCCACTGCTGATGATGTGTAATGAACGCAAGCCTCTTGAAAGATTTTCCAAGACAGTAGTGCTCATTAGCATAATGCTGGCTGCCCTGGGATTCTTAAAGTTCAAGGTCATTTTCTTTAAGATCTGTAATGTCCCACATTTTAAAATAATGGGATGTCACATGTCATAGCATGTCACATAAGAGCATTTCTAAACTTCTAATTGTCAATCTTGACGGTTATAATATGCAAATATGGCAAGTACTTCTTCATGATTAAAAAAGTGTTCATAACGAGGGTACAAATTCATAATGTATAGTGTGCAGTTAAATACCAAATAGATTGTAGTTAAACATTTAACTGCAAGAAAACCGATGATTTCAAAAATATAATCTTCATGTCTATCCATTATTCATCGTTGACTATGTATAATACAAACTAATTAATTTTTAATAGAAAGATGGAATTTTTTAAACAAATTATTTGAGCACTTGAGTCAATGATGACAAATAATATTTGCTATAGCATCACTATCTGTAGCGAATCCTTTTCACAAGACAAATATACACAAGATTCTCTACATGAACCATGTCTTGTTATGTACTGTATGAGACCTACAGTAGGGAGTGGTGGTGTTTCTGGTTGTGAGAAAAATATGCTGAATTTAACACACAGTAGGACCTTGGGATTTCAGTGTTTTCCCAATTGAAACATTTTTACTGGTAAATTTGCCCATAAAAATTCAGCTATGCACGCAGAGCGGGGCGCTACCCCTTTTGAGTAGGGTTTAATGACTTGAAGAAACACAAACAGTCATAGACTAATAGGCTATGATTGGAATGATGTTCATTTATTGAAAGAAGGCCAGCCTTAATTACCTATGCCTAAGCATTTTTATTTTACAAACACAACATTTTTGCCAGTTGGCAAGTTATTTTTACCGGTAAAATTGACAGCTAAAATGGCTTCGGGAGAACACAGATTTTATGCCAAGCATTTGAACCACCAAGCTACTACTGTAGTACTACACTCTACATTATGATTTATGTGTGTATTTGCACCATCAATTGTGAACTTGAATTAATATGGTGATTTAACGAATATTTAAGGGAAAGTGCAAATTAATGCTGATCACCATGTAGAATTTTAGGTCTTCTCCCATGAGCTAAGTTGGTAGGAATTGCATAATATTATTCATAAAAAAATGGAAACAAATATTACTGTACAGAATTTATAATTCATCAGTTTTGTGATGAATGTTATACATGTATTATACAAGTCAAAAACAGGCTTATTTTCTAGTAACTATAGTACTATACATACTACATGTTGCATAAATGGTGATTGTTTTTAGCCAATGTACTGTATTTATACAAGTCAAAAACGGGCTTAATTTCTAGTAAATATTTTACTGTAGTACTACTGTATATTACTACTACATGGTGATTTATTTTTAGCCAAGTAAAGATTTATGGGTTTTTTTTTTGTTCCTCTAATACTTCCTTCTCAAATGCTAACTTTATTTTTTTTTTTATTAAAATATATATTATCCAAATAATTTTCTTTATATGCTATATGATTTTTAAATCTTGCATTTTTTAGAGAATTCAAAGGAATTTAAAGAAAAACCTGCATGATATAAACATGTATTATTTCACAGAAAGAATATTAATATTCAATGTGACTGTTGTCTTTCATGTATTGCACATTGAAAAAAAAAAAGCCAGTTTCTTAAGTTGATCTCAGAATTATGCAAAGTAGATATCTTTTTTACGGTAGTGGTTTCTTTACGACATACTGTGTACTACATTAATCTGTTTTAAAACCCAATGTTTCAATCTTGTGTTTGCAGAATGATGAATGTGGATCTCCCGTGGGTTTTTATGCTGTTTATGATGGCCACGGAGGGATTGATGCATCCCATTACGCAGCCACTCACCTTCACTGTCATGTCGTCAGTAACTCGGAATTTAAATCAAATAAGGCTAATGCTCTTAGAGCTGGTTTCACTGTAACTGATGACAAGTTTGTAGACAAAGCCAAACGAGAGGTTTGTATAATTAAATATATTTGAATACTCTTAAGCTCTGGTTCACACAATCAATTTTGCTTTGAAAATACATGTGATATGCCCATATATGGGTGTGATATGACATCATCATGTCATTGTATATAGGCATATTATAACATATTTCTAACACAAAATGATAGCGTAGACACCTAATAAGAAATACAAGCAAAGACAGTGATGTACAGTATATAAATACAGTACAAATGACAAATGTAAAATATGATGTCTGTAACAGAAGTAATGAAAATATGATGGTTACAGATGTAAATTTTTATTGGAGTTACAAATGATAATGAAAATATCTAAATACAAACAATCTAGAAAGATACATGTATGTGATGTTTTTTTCCTTGGAAATGCTTGATTTTAGGGATTACGTAGTGGAACAACAGGCATAGCAATTGTTCATGATGGGGACATGCTGCATGTCGGCTGGATTGGTGACTCCCAGGCCCTGGTCATGAAACAAGGCAGGGCAATTACAGTTATGAACCCTCATAAACCAGATAGGGAGGTAAGGCATCCCCCTTTTTCCAACATAGTTATTTTATTTTAAATTTCTTTGTTTATGTTAATAGATTTTTTGGTTTGTATAGAAAGAATAATACACTACTCAGACTCCAGCCTGGGGCCTAGGTTCGGACCATGATATGACTCTTCAAACTGAAAACATGTTGTGTTGCACCCAATGTTTAATTGAGAGTAATAAAAAAATAGTTTAAAACCACATTTTTTGGGTGAAAATAGATAATTATCGAGTAGTTTTCCATCTTATCCTGTAATGACTTACTTGGTTGGTTTTGAATAAATTTTAAGACGATTGTATATTTAATTACTATACCCCCAACAATTAAACAAAAAGTGGCATATATTTAGAAATAGTCAGTTTTTCACTAAATTCTGCTTTATAATGTAATGTAATAAAGCCAAATTATCTGTTGTTGTAAATATCTCATCAAATTTTTAATGGATGGTGTATTTTTTAACTGTATGGGGTAACAATTTTGATCTCGGTTATTAAACAAGACCCATACTCTTGCATTGAGTCACACTCTCTAATGCTAAAGGCCCTCAGCATTCTTATTATCCATTCTTCTGATAGCACTGTAACCTAAAAGTGTGAGTTCTAAACTTTTTTTAAAAATAAAATAAAGAAATGTATTTTAAATTGATTATTTACAATACGAACCTGTAGATCATTTACTCATTTGTAATGATATATTTATTCAAAATCATCATAGCAGTAAACTTAGTTGTGATTTTTTTTCAATACGATTAAAATTTAGTGTTAAAAAGAATTTAATAGTATTGTAGTGAACAAATTTTTTTGTATATTATTCGAAAACATTTTGTGAATTCTGTGCAATCTAACAGTCCATCTTAAAGAAAGAGTGGTTGTAAAAGCCTATAATGGATCCCTAGAGAGGAAAGCATAAGTTTCTTATATGGCTCAAGTTTAATTGAGAATGATGAGTAGTACACAGATGACTTGGCAGCAACTACATACACAGGTGAATTCATGAGCGTTCAGAAGCAGTTGTGATGTCATCATTATGATTCTATCAGCTGTGCTTGATTTTTGCACGCGGCAGGGAATGCCTCGTAGTTGGTGACTGATGTATCACACAGGTTCAAACCTTGTCATGGGTAGCTGATGTGTCATACAAGTCTTGAAATGCTTGTCTCTGATCTTATTTATATGATGTAAGAGTGACTCATTAAATGAATAATATGCACTCATAATTGATTACAGACATTATGGGAATACTGTAGTTTGTTCCAAATATAGATTACAATGGTGGGTGGGAGGCTTTTAGAATGAGTAAATATATTTTTTAAAGAGATAAGGGCATTTTTGTCCAAATGCAACAAGTATCACCTTATAGTTTTGAAATTTGTGTGGAATACTACTGTATACCTTGACCTGTATTAAAGAAAACCTGACCTATATTCAGATTCTTTCATACAAATGTCTAGGCCTACATACCCCTGTAATAATGTCTCATATGTTGTGACTTTCTTCCAACCCCTAAGCATGTCAACTTCACCATACATTTGTCCTTGAGCATTTACACGCTGTCCGTACTAGAGATTTTTTTTTACATAGAAGTCTCACTTTCGGCTATCTTCAAATCAATAGTCTTTCAGAACATTTTTTTAAAAATTTTTCATCACTGTCCTTAATCCTTGTTTTTTACAATTGCTATATACTGAAAACATCAATTTATTATTTTTGGCATCTTGTCCTATTTTTTTTTTTTTTATAGAGTGCACTTGCGAACAGGGGCCAAACATATTTGGGCAACCTTTTTAATAATTTTTCCTTATAGTTCCAATTAAAAGAATTACACTAATTACTATGTGTTCTCAAACTGCTGTGGTCTAGATGAAATGGCTTTATAAAACTAAATATTATTATTCCTGTTTACATTATTTTTGTAGGATGAGAAGAAAAGGATAGAGGAGTTGGGTGGGTGCGTTGTGTGGTTTGGAGCATGGCGGGTAAATGGTAGCTTAGCTGTATCAAGAGCTATCGGTAAGTGTAACACACAAGTCTAAATCTGGTTACTCACTGCATGCAACAACGACGCGACGAAGAATGTCAAATATAACTTTTTTATGTGGTGAAAAAAAATTTATGGTGGACAACCAATTATGTTTGCATTTTGTAAAGTTAAATCCATTTCCTTTAAAGCTTTTCTTTTCTTTTTTTTTTTTTTTTAATTTAAAGGTGATGCAGACCATCGGCCATATGTGAGTGGCACCCCTGATGTAACGTCAGTCAAGTTAGATGGGGATGAGGACTGCTTTGTCCTTGCATGCGATGGTCTTTTTGATACCGTATCTCTTCAGGATGTGTGTGATGTTGTACAAAATTGTATAAACACTGACAGTGAATATTCAACAGTTTCCCATAAGCTAGTGTCTGTTGCCAAGGAGCGCGGATCCACTGACAACATCACATGCATTGTGGTGTTTCTTAATCCTCAAAAAAGAGAAATTTCCTCCATTGATGAGGATGAAAAAACTGTCATTCTAGATGATACTGGAAATCCTGTCCTCCCAGATGACTCGGAGGAGGAGAACAACAAACCGAAGGATGAATCAGAAGGGGAGAAGTCAAGCGATAGGGATGGTTCCCAGCAGCCTGGCAACACTCAAGAGACCAGTACAAGCGAACAAATTGAGGCTGAAAATATTGAGGCTGAGGAAACAGAAACAAAGGACAGTGATTGCGATACTAATTCAAATAACAATAACAGTATGTTATTAAAAAATGATAGTAAAATTCACTCTGCAAGTAACTCTGGTACAGGGTTATCCAACCCCAAGAATGGACACAAAAATGTGCCTTGTAAGAATATGGAGACACTGTCCTTAGCTGGAAATGGATTGAAGCTTAGCCCTAGCCCTAAACTCAATCGCAAAAAGAAAACATCGGTGTCATCCCAAACAGCGGCTCCTACTAGGAAGTCCCCATCTGTAAATACCAAAACAAATGTTGTCAAAAACAAGAAGCTTACTCCACAGAAGAAAAAGAGTCAAAAGTCAAAGCCGGGCTTGTTAAGTAATGGTAGTCGTAGTACTAGTTTACCCTCAGGGAAAATGACAACACCTACACAGTCCACAAAAAAACCGTCATCCACAAATGATACTAACGTAAATGTGGTGTCACCTGTGAAGACAGGTGTGTTGGGTAACAAATCTAATCAATTCAAGTCCAGTTTCAAGCCGAAGACTCTAAACTCGTTGCAGGGTCGAGTCCACCGAGATGAGGTCATACCAGGGGCTACAATGTATAATCATGTGTATCAAAAAGGGTCTGTACCAGCTTACCCTGTTATACAATGATGTTGTTGAATCTTACCCACAGTGCATCTCATTTCTACTAGCGCATTGTATATGCAGGGATTTAGCATTGTTATCGAGTCTAGGTGATTAAACCCAGACAAGTTAATGCGTCTTTTTCATGAAATAATATTGCATCAATTGCACATTAACTAAATTAAATGGTCAGCGAATGGCTATGTACAGCCAATGACAGGATGAAACACTCTGGATATTTCATTTTAACTTGCATTATATGTATCATATGATTATACAGTATGTATCATATGATAAATGCTGGCTCAGATAAAGTACAAGATGCAAAATTGTAAGAGAGTGACCTTTAGGCTTTGGTAAAATATGGAAAAACCTCCATAATTCAATTGAATTTTTTAATTGTTTTATTAATAAGAGTCAAATATTCCAATGAAACATATGTTAGATCAAGATAATTAAGTTTTCATTGATTTATAGATGTTTCACTACAAAAATCCTTAAGTTGATTACCATCCAGTTTGAGAATATGCAAAAGAATATTGAAAAGGTATTATTTATAGGCCTGTTTAAATTGTGAGGGCATTTTTTTTCGATGGCTAATTTTCAATATATTTTGTTAAGTTTTTTAACTTGTTACAGACTATGTATCTTTAAGCTAGTCATACCGCTAATGAAAGTACATGTATTGTACTACATTTGTGAATGTAATATAACATCATTGGCTTCGCCAGTGAGCCTACAATTATTTAGGATGGCCACTTTTACCGTGATGGCTTGGACGGCTTGGCCTGCTTGGCCTAAAATCAGCTTGGCCTAGCCAATTTCATTTTTCTGGCTAAACCCCTGTATAACATTCAGTCAAAACTCTCCTGTAAAAAATTGGAAGTGATACCATTCCACTAATTTCACCCCGTTTCAACAAGGAATCATTGAGGTTACTCATGAGAGGCAGAGGTCAAAGATGTATAGGTGCTCTAGTTGGACACTGGAGAGGAGCTCTTAATTGTGGGAGGTCAGGGGGCAAAAGGCCCGTGGAGCTAAAGCATTCTAGAATATCACTGGTGAATTACATCACCATTTTGATGAATTTTTGTATGCAAGTGGAGGGGGTGGTTTGGTATATCAAAGAGGTTTAGCTCAAAAAATGGTGGTCAGGCCAAACAATAGAAATCCCGTAGTTATGGGCCCTGAGTTTCAGATTATTGAATTATTATTATTCAATTTGTCTTATCAAAGGAGTCTTGCTCATATAATTGTGCTACTTACCCACCTGCCTGCTTTTACATGTATTTTTGCTCAATCGTGAATTAGGACAATAAAAATATTGTTCAGGTGCCCAAGCATTTGAGATGGTAAAATACTAACCATTGGGCTAAAATCCATGGTGTATGTCTCAAATTCATTAATTCAGGTTTCAAAAAGTTCTTTTCAACCTTTATTTTGGGCTATAGGCCTACTGGTAAAGAATTATTTAAATTTGGTTTTAAACCACAAATTCTAAAAATAGATTTTAAAACTTTGACAATATTTGAAGATGTACAATATAATTAAGTTTTTTAAACAATGTGATTAACACCAAATACATATACTGTAAAGACAAGTTTGTTGCATCAGTGGTGGTTGCCAGCAGGGTGAAAGGGATGGGCTTTAAGCCCCACTTGGACAGGACAGAGTCTGCCGTCAGAAATGATTTGTCAAATCGCATAAACAAATCTTTTTAAAACCAAATGTGGCCATAATATGTGGTACAGCATCTCATAACAGCTGAAAATTGCCCAGTTTTTTTAGGTGTTGGTCACCTGGAACTCCACCAGTGTCGGTTAGAAATTGTTGGACGGCCATAGATTCCCCTCCTCGGCAAGTGTGTTGCATTACTGCTACAGTGATTAAGAATGATTACCTCTGATTTCAGATTTTATTGCCTTGTAATTATGACCGATTAAATTGTGATTGTAAAAAAAATGTTGGTGCAACAAATACCTAGATGTGGTAGGCCTGCTGTGTATGTAGGTGGAGAGGAGGAAGTCTAAATCTTGGAACAGTTTTAACTATAATTAGTAGCCTTATATTATTTTACATTTTGACTGTGAAATTTAGTACAGTATGTATACAGTACTCAAAATATATTTAAGTTAATATGTCAATTTATAGTTGCAGTAGTGTCATTCTGTTTTTTAACTGATATATTCATGATGTTTTTTTTTTGGTTTTTTTTTCGTAATTCTGTCACAACTTAACATTTTTGAGAACTATAGATGCAAGTTTGAGTGAGGTTGTTTTGCTTAGTGGTTAAAATGCTTGCGTTCTAATCCCAGAGTCCTGGGTTGAATTCCAGCAGGAATTTTTCCCATGACTTAAAATACAAATCCAATCCCAAACCCCCATGAAGAGACTTGGTTGATAAAGCATCATCCATCCTATGATTGGGGAGTCACGCTGTTTGGAAACAAATGAAAAAAATTATTAAAAAAAGGTTTTCTGCATGGCACGCGTTAAATCTCCGAACCTTTGCTGTGCCGGTGTAAAGGAATCCCTTCAATTAGCAGTTTGTACTCCAGTGTATAATATTCCGAAATGTATTTGCAAAACTATAAACCTTTTATTATATTTTTCTATCCAGAGAAGTTGTCTCGTGCTTCAAGTTAAATGGAGGTGAAAAAGGCACATATTTTAACTTTTGATCTTTATACTGGTGTACTATGAATATTTTTAACAATTTCCTATCTGAAATGCTAACAGCCATTGATTATAAAGCAGATATTTTTTGGTGAATTAAAAATGCTGGTTAAAATGTTCTCAATGTTAATACAGGTATATGATATGTATGATGTACTCTTTGCTTATAGTAAATTAAGTTTTTAGCTTCGATGAGCTCTAGAAACACTCTGCTGATTGGTTAATAGATCTTTTTTGTATGGGCGGCCCTTAGAGCCAGTATACTCTACTGCCACTATTATACTGCCCTCATCAAAGCTTTCAAGATTACGAGAACTTGTTTAAAAACAAGCATTTGCAAAAGTATTGATTGTATTGAATTATATAATAACCTAATAGAAAACCTTTAATTTATATGTTTAATGAAGTTTTGAGAACTGAGAATAAATGCGAGCTGTCTTGACAAAATGAGTGTTGTGGTACAAGAAATAAGAAATTATTGATATATTAGTTAGATGACTATATAACCTTTATTTTGGTTTCTGAATTGGGTTCTTAGGTTGAGTACAGCTAGAGTAAGATCATTTTTAAATTCAGATGTCTGAAAACATACTTTAAAGGAAATTGTCTTTAAAGATAACTGATAAATTTTTTTGTTTTCCTATATTGTGAAAAACAGCTTTATAATATGTGCCTCAAAAACGCTTTGCTACCATGAAATGTACATATTAATCTTATCAGAAACATTGAATCACTATTTATGTCAAAATATCACTTCAGATTTATTTTCTTGACCTGGTGTACTACAAGGCTTATTTTGTCACGACACCTCACAAATGTCAAATGGCAATCACTTTAAATAACCTGGTAGTCTCTAACATAATGCAATGATCATAGCTCGATTTTAAAATCAGTATTGTTTAATTTATAACATTGTTAGATAAAATTTAAGATTTTAAATGCAATTAATTTGATTGGTTCTCATCCTCTCTTTATAAAATATCATGTTATATGTTAATAATAAATGTAGTGTTTTTTTTTGTATTCCTTCATTTCAAAATGTTACAGTGATGTGTATTGGTCTGCGAGAAACTCTTTGTATCGGTGGACATTATGCAAATTTGTAAATATCCCAGATCACTGTGTTGTATTTGTCATCTAAATTTCAGTGTATTTTTTAACATTGAATCCATGAACTTTAGTTATGACAAATTTATCTGATTGAAACCAAAACATGTTAAAATTTTATTTTGTACAAGGCTTTTCTCAGATAAAGATATTTTTAATAATAATCTTGTGCCTTTTTAAAAGGAAACTATTGGAAAGAGAATGACCAACTAAAGGTAATTAACGATGTCAAAACATTTGTGACAGGATACGTGTAGTAATATTATTTGGGAATTTTTCAGTTATTAGATGACAATTGGTTGTATGTATGTTGTAACTGATATACTTTTAAGTGTAGCTTTGAAAATAATGCCACAGCAGTACTGTGTAGACTGGTGTTCTGCCCAGTGGTGGTCTGTCAGCTATATTATTGGCATCTCAACCAAGTATTTTTGTCCTATTAAGGAAAGGAAGATTTTAGGATGTAAATTAAATGATGGGCGAGTTCATTATCTATTGTATTGTAATCAGGAATAAAAATTGCATAAAAATCAAGGATGTGTTATTTACTTTTTTGTTTTAAAGAAGGTAAAGGTAGGAGAATAACCCATAACTCACAGTGTCATTGTGCTGAATTGCTTATGGGCGTGGTCCATGACTACCTCAGCCGCTGTAAAGTGGCGCTTCCCATCACTATATGTTCACATCATTCCACAACAGGGCTGAAATGAACCATAGCATCGGTTTAACTCCCTACTCTTCCCGAGCCAGATGTGTACACTGGACCTCCATTTTCAAGTCCTTATCCGAGAAGACTACCAACCGAACCCTAGACGAGGAGCAGCTCGAACCAGCGCCCTAGCCTTACCGCTCAACCTTTGACTGGCGTAAAAACCCAGTAAGAGAAAGGGGCCCTGTGGCATTCTGAGACTGAGGGGCCTTTTAGGCCCCGCAGTCGCAATTTCCATTGTGGGATTTTAGATGTGCTCATTTTTAATCATGTTTGTCATTGTATTCCCCACTCTTTAATTTGTCATTGGATATATGTCCTACAGCCAATGTCAGACACATTGGGCATATTCAACTATTTCACTTCGTTGAGTATTATTTTCATTTGACTGGTTCGTAAAATAGACTTCGTTGGGGAAGGGGTGGAGAAATGATCAATGATTAAGCGAAGAGCTAGCACGCAAAATAAGGCGATTTTTAAGTAATTGAGTGTACAGTAATTTGTTTTTTTCCGTATCCCTTTCATTGAATTTGGATTGTTGATCATTTTATTGATTTTATAGTGGTATGTTTGTATATATCCTTTCGATGGTACATGATAACTGGTTTATCCATTCATTTCAGCACAAATGTAAAACTACAGCCACATTTTATTTTTCCAATTGAAAGATTTGATCTTTCAAAATTAGCACCATTTTGAATTACGTTTTTGCCAGACACCGATGTTCGGATTCTTTACGAAGGTATTATTTAAAAATGTTGATTACAAGGAAAACTGTTCTGATCTAAATTTCAGTTGAAAGCCAATAACTAATTGAATTGGATACACAAGTATTAAATCCAGACTACAATTTTATTTGACAAAAACATGTGACATGCCTAAATATGGTCATGATGACATCACATCATGACCATATATAGGCACATCATGACTATATATAGGCAAATTATGACTATATTTGGGCATACAACATTTTTTTGTCAACGAAAATTTTAAGATGTAAAGATTTAAATGCAAGTATAACATACAACAAAGCCTAACAGTCATTTTTTAGCAGCCCGAAAAATGAATTAAAAACCCTATGGCTGCGGCTCGCCAACCATCTTTGGCTAGAAACACCGATCATCTTTAAAAAGTAATATTATAGCCAAGCATAAAGTGGTATAAATGCAGTGCATAAAGGTTTTTGAAGGGAAACACTGGAACCATTTGGGTGTGGCCCTCAGTGCTAAATTAAAAGTGTACTTTGGCTCTCCGACCGATGTCCACCCTGACATGTAGTAGTCAACAATGCTTCAAGTGGGTCCAACAAAATAACAGTTCATGACTATGGTAAAAACAATCAATCTTTTATTAAATATACAGTATTTACAAAAAACTTGTACTAAAATAATCTGTTATTACATTCATTGTCGGGGGTGGGGGGAGGACAATCCTTCCTATGGAGACACCTGATGTTTAAAAATGTTAATACTTTATAGCTTACCCATGAATTTTGGCCAAGTGGTTACTAATTGACCGGCCATTAAATACATTGCACGACATAGCCACTTATTATCATCATTTAAATTAATCTAGGCCTTTCTAAAATAACAATATACCTGATTGTAATTTTAATGCACTTAAATTATTATGCACAAATAATTCTTTTAGGCCTAATTAATTATATTTAAATGTTATAATTTAATTATGAAAATGTAAAACAATATTTTAAAAGTATTAAATGTTATGAAACAACTACTTCAGGAAGTATGTCACCCAATTTAGCATTAATTTTTAGTGTTGCAAGATGGTCAGCTCTGGTTGGTCCAATGTTGATAATTGCTATGGGTTTCTTCCATTCAGCTGCTTCTAGGGCAAAACGATATCCTGAGTAAACCTATAAGGGAAAGAAAAAAACAAAAATTGTAAGATTATGAATCAGTAGCTTTTGGTTTTTGTCCAGTTTTGTCAGTCTCAACATAGGGCCAAGAAAATAACGTTTATTTCGTGGCCCTGTTCCTACCAATCCTTTCACCACTATACACAAGAATCTTCATGTCAAGTTTTTAGACCTACATCAACAAGGATCTACAGAGTATGAACTCATGAATAGACAAAATAAGAAGTCATCTCAACATACAGTGATATAAATATCAATACAGAATTTTATATGGTTCTTATTTAATAAATATGGATAGTGCTTTGTTTTACTGCAATTTCCATATTCTTATTCATTATCATTTTACATGGGTTGGCCAGCACCTCTCAATGAATTCATGTTAAGTGCTTCTTCCTATTTTAACCCCATGAAGGTTTTTAAGACCTGGATAAATCTCCTGAATTATCTGCCTACCTGTAAAGATGATCCTACAACCAGGAATCCATCAGCATCTCTCACACGATCTTTTAAGAATGCCACTGTTGTCTTCTGAACATTGTCCCCAAAGAAAACAATATTTGGTTTAAGAATACCTCCACACTCTTCACATTCTGGTACAACAAAGTTCTTCATATCTTCTAGAGAAAGTAGAACATCTCCGTCAGGCCCTGCCATAGTCTCTTGCTTTATTACAAAATTAGGGTTCAGTTTTATCAGCTGTTTCTGTAGACTATTCCTGCTGATGACGTTAAAGCATGATAAACATTTGACCCTGTGAAGACTACCATGTAGCTCCGTCACCCTTTCACTACCTGCTTTCAAGTGTAGTCCATCTACATTTTGAGTGGCTAGCCAATTAATTTTACACATTTTTTCCCAACTACTCAAAGCTGTGTGAGATAAATTGGGAACAAATGACTTGTACTTCCTCCAACCGACAAAATTTCGAGCCCAGTACTGCCGTCGTCTTTCTGCACTTTGAAGAAAGTGATTATACTGCATGGGTCTGTGATTAGTCCGTGCATAGAGTCCTACACCCTCTGAGCGGTAGTCCGGAATGCCAGATTCTGTTGATAAACCTGCGCCAGTAAGGACAAAAAGCTTCTTTGATTTGTCAACAAAGTCCTGTAATTGGTTGATATTTTCTTGGCTAAAAGGTGGACTGGCTGGGACATATGACAGGTCATCTTTCGTAACTGTTTGTGTTGAATGACTGCGTTGCTTCAAGTTTGCAAACATTGCTGCTCTTTGCATGAAGCCGATTCCTGGGTGGCACTGAATAACATTTCCTAACCTTACTAAGCCCATTTCTGTGGATACTGAATAAAATGTCATGTTATAGCTTTCGGCTAGGCCTAGTTTTGGTTAAATTGCCAAAAGTTATGAAATGAACAAAATTATAGTTAAACTAAACTAACAGCACTGCTGATTGATTGCGTTGTTGATTGGCTACACATGATTAATAATAAAAATATTATTAGGAAATGACAGATTATAGATTCATGGGGGAAGTTAGATGTGTATAAGAGACGGGGGGGGGGGGGGTTGCGTGGAAACCTTACTGGGAGAGAGGAGGAAGGTATTATATTCAAGTATCGTTCCCACTACTAAAACACAAAAAAAATTCTGAAACCCTTTATACAATACTTTCCAAACGTTGTAATAAACCACCACTAGCATGTCATCATTCTACAGTATATACTGTACTGCGACTGTGAATCCTGACCAAAATGCATAAAAAACACTACAAACAAAAAGGAGTGCCAGAAATTATCTGTATTCTTGCAGTTTTGGTCTCGTCATTGCCGTTTTGGTTATTGCCGTTTTGGTATTGTCGTTTTAACCTGATACCGCCTAGCCAATAACCGGCCTAGGGAAGGCGTAGGGAGGGCCAACTCATCACTGTCTAGGCAAGGCTAGGCCTCTCTTATTATGGATGTGACCTAGGCCTACCTAGGCCCTAGGCTTGGCCTCTCTTATTTTAACTAGGCTAGGCAACAACAAGGCTCGGTCTGTCTAAACTAAGTCTAGGCTATTATAGCAAACATGGGTAGGCCTATATACCAATACTACCAGCAGGGAACAGTTTACCAGGCATCAATCCTCATCTAATAACATTTCAAGGATTCTTAACATCTTCTTGACCACACAACAGACCATCGACCTTCACCCGCAGCAGCTCCAGTGACAGAAAAAGTGTAGGGAAAGGTCTGTAAAATGTTGTTACGTAAGCGACAAAAATAGAAGATCAGTTTAATTGCCAGTCATTGTAAATCCATAATGCAAACGTTTTTCTATCAATCACACATTCTGATTGTTTTTTATTGTACTAGTTTTGTCTGTAAGTGTTTTTAAAATATAGTTAACAACATAACCATACGAAGCAAAATAAACAGAAATTCCTAGATTAGCTAGGCTAAATTAGGTTACCTGGACACGAAATATAAAGAATAATTTAATTGTAGATAACCTGGCAATAATTATGTAGGCCTACGGCTTCGCTGATCGATTGTTGTAAACAGATAAGTAGAATGATATATTTTTGAAATAATGTGTTATTTCAGTCAACCTTATTAGTACGCAAAACGTGTGAGCCTAACTGTCATATTAACAGACTTGCTTTTGAATGGTGAGTGTTCTTTGTTTCACCCTTACAAACAAGAGTTATTATGACAACAACAACCTAGGCCTTAGGTCTACTACTAGGGCTAGGCCTAGCTAGAGTACTACTCTAGGCTGAATTAGCCTAGTCTAGTGCCGTGGTTGGATGGGCCCTACCTAGGACTAGGCTAGCCTAAGTTGGTCATAGAGGGGTAGCAGCAGGAGTAGGCCAGGCGGGTCCCTAGCCCTGGGAAGGTAAGGTGTAAATAAGACATCTACTAGATGATCTAGCCTAGATTCTAGGTCTAGCCTAGGCTAGTAGTTTGAAGTTTTTTAATGGCTCGAATGATACCTCAAATTCAAAAACTAGCTTTTAAGTTTTAGTATTATATTCGTAAGAAAAAATAGGCCTAGGCCTAGGTGCGCAGAATTGTAACCTGTATAATACATTAATACCCCATTCAGTCTAGCATCGCATTGCGATCGATTGTAGCAATTGCAACACCCAATCGCAAAGTAAAATCGTGTGTGAAAGCTCACCAATAATAGTAGATATGATCGATATCGCAATTGTTACCCGTTGCGATTGGGTGCTACAATCTTTATTACTCCCGATTGCCACAGAATCCGATCGCAGCGAATCAAAACAATTTTCACAGGCACTGTTTGGCTGAGGTCAGTCAGCAAAACATATTCCACAAGCACTGTTTGGCTGAGGTCAGTCAACATAGGCCTAGCCACCGGAGCCTTGCCCTATAGAATGTAAAATTTGTTTGTGTTGGTCTGAATGTGTTCGTTGATTGTGATTGGGAGTAATCAGTTTGGATTACCACCGATTACATCGTAACTGATCACAACAGTGTGTAGTCTGAATAGGGTCTAAGACCGAAGTACAATGAAGAAAATACCTCATTTTCTCTTTTTAATAATTTTTATGAAGATAAAGTAGGCCTAGGGCCTATACTTATCCATACTGTAAAGTTTTTTAATCGCTGTGACTAGAGATACGGTACTGTATTTCTACAGTACTTCAATTTACCAAAGGTATGGTAAAAATGGCATTACGTCACCATCACCCAATAAAGAGCCAGAATGCGTGGCATCATTTTTGAAGACTGGGCATGGTATTGCAGATCACCCACGATGAGTGGTGAAACACGAACAATGTACTGGGTAATTATAACATCAAAAAGTAGAACTGTATCAATAATAATAATACTAATTCTGGAAATGAACTGTAACTGTAGAACTGTATCAATAAATATGTTATGTTGTTAATTTCTGGTAGCATCTCTCGGGATCACAAATGACGACATTCACAAATAAGTAACATTAATCAGTTTTATTTCGTCTGATGAGCCCTGCAGGTATTGGTGACCTAGCCCAAGCCCATACAGTTGTCATCTGCCTGCCTCTACTTGTTCCCTCTCATTTTTACCGCGTTCATTACGCATAAATGCGTGCAGCCTAACAGGTGCATATACTTCTATGTTTGGATGTATTAAAATATCAAGAGGCACAAAAGGTGCAAGTATGAAATGGGCTAGCACTTCTATATTATTATGACTTTGCCATATGGCTCCATTCGGAGTCATGTCATTTGTCTATACAGTATAGCCATTATCAAACAAGGACTGAATCCTGTACCAAACTCTTGGCATATGTCACTAGGCCTTGCTTAAATTCTTCGCTTTGTGAAGAATCTAAGCAAAGGCATGGGCCTTGCTTGGATTCTTCATTTGGCGGCAGCCCTGTTGTAGTGACAGATCGATCTGGGTGGGGTGGGTGGCATGTCAGTCATAAACTAATTCCACCATGGTTCTCAACCCCCAAAATCTTATCCCAAGTTTTAGTCCAAGAAGCCTAGGTTATAATATTTTGAAATTACTATGCTTTACAATCTGAACAACATATTCATACACTTTTGAATGCAGATGCATAACCGATACCTCCTTGGTTTACCCAACTTTCGTAGACTTCATCGCTGTTATGGTGCTTCCCCCAATCGTAAACATCGTTTGGCCAGAATTCAGCTTGAGAGAATGAGTTTCCACAATTGTGATTATTAGTGTCTAATTTGTTGAATATACTTTTTGATACAGGCCCAAATAAACAGTAAAGTGCTAGTAATCCTATATGAATTTTCTTAAATTTACAGTTTACAGTATATTCAGTTTTTTAGTGCATGTGTTGTCATGTAGATTAGACCAAAGACTGAGTAGTATGTCAACTCTCTTATTAAGTGAAGAGGCAAAGCAAGCTAACCTGGGCCTATGTCCTGAGGATTCATGCAATTCCTTGGCTATAGATGAAATGACTTGACTCTACTGAGTGGAACACTAACGCCTATTTATCGATGACAGTAATTATAAGAAAATACTGTACTCTTTGCATACAGTAGTTATCATGTGCTAATTAAATATTATTCGCTAGTCAAACTGCCCACCTCACACCATCTCAGACTGTGGGCAATCTGCAATGCCAGTCTTGAAAGATGACGTCACACACATTCTGGCTCTTCATTGAGCGACAGTGATGTAATGCCATTTACCGTACCTTTAGAAAATTGAAGTAGAGATGTGGTACCGTATCTCTAGCCACAGCATTTTTGAATTGTACAGATGATACTTCAAAAAACTAGCTCAAATTTGCGCTGAAAATCATAATTATCAGAATACCCTGTATGTATAACTGTATAAGATTAGGTCAAGGCTGAATTTTTAGCAAAATCTTTGCGGAAATTGGCCCATATTATCACAAAAGCAAAATTATGAGATTATTTGGACGTCTGTTATTGAAATTTTCAAGGGTCTTAATTTTATAGACACCCTATAGTATGTGGGTGTCCACAACGAAGACCTGAAAAAGTAAGAAAAAGACCCCCCATTCTCTCTTTCTAATTTGATGAAAATATATCCAGGGTCAGATTTACCTTGGAAAGTTAAAAAAAAAAGGAAAAAAGGAAAGAAAGAAAAAAAAGAAATAATTGACTGCGCAAAATGCCTCAGAGGTTATTTTCGGGCAGAAAAAATTCCCTAGGTTGTGTTGTCTCGATCGGCCCAATTTTCGCCCCCCCCCCCCCCCACATCGGACATCTCTGGATCCGCCCCTGATATCAAACTACAACACAAAATCAAGATTACAAGGTTATTTGGACATCTGTTTGTGAAATTATCAAGGATCTTCTTTTTCAATAGGCCGACCAGCCCTCCTTAAACTAACGTTAGAATACCCGAACGCCGTTTGTGTGAACACTTTGGAATTTTAATCCGTGGACTAGCTTACGCCTGGCGTAAGCCACGCCAGTCTTACGCCGTGTGTGTGAACACAGCCTTTAACACTCAGTACCTATCCTTGATAATGTGTTAATCCAATTAATATAGTGAGATAACGTAACGTTAGTTTATCGAGGGCGGGTTGAGCTAATGTATAGACACCCTAAGTATGTGGGTGTCTACAACAAAACAAAGACGAAAAACCTGAAAAACAAAGACCTCCAATTATTTTCTTAAATATCTTTTTGAAAATATTTCAAAATCATAAAACTGTTACCAAGTACCTCTTTCATAATTTTATGGGAATAATATGAAGAGCAATTAACAAAGGGTCTTTGTTTTTAAGACACCCTATAATATGGTGTCTACAAAACGAAGACCTCCGATTATTTTTCTCAATTTATGAAAATATTTTGAAATCATCATCAAGCCATTACAAATGACCTCTCTCTACAGTATACATGGGAATACAGTAATGGTTTAATGGATGGTTTTAAATTTATATAGCGCAAAATACAAAAATTCTCTATGCACTATAAACACAAGTGTTGTTTGGAAATGTGAAATAAAAAATAAAGATAAAAGTTCCAGGCCAAGCCAGCACCCAATCCGCAGTATGGGGGTACACCCTCGTCGTCGCTAACCAGGGATTTATCGGATTAAACCCTGATCAGCATTGAGTCTCAGTCATCTTGGGCTCGGGCGCCTCCTATCCTATATATAAAGCTAATAAAACTCACTGGCATGAGATGCAGTAAGAATAAAAAGAAAAATAACCAAGGGTCTTCTTTTTATAGACACCCCTTATGAGTGTTTACAAAACCAAGACCGAAGACCTGAAAATTATGAGGTTATTTCTTGGCGAAATTATCAATAGCGAAGGACAACAACTTGAAAAACAAAGACCTCTACCTTTTTTTTTTTCTTAATCATCATGAAAATACATTTTTATATCATAAATAGCTCATTTCATATTTCTTTCTGAAAATTTCATGTTAAGATAATTGCAAAATATTTTAATTTTGGCCTAAATAAAGAGTAATGCCAATCCGGAGGTTCTGGGCAAGTTATCTTTTCATCGAGTGAGCAATTCCAGGATACCGTTTAGTACTCTCACCCAAATATTGTACCATTACACTCAAACATTATTTTGTTTTAACAATTTGTTGTTGATGTTATAAAGCTATTTGATTATTAGAATGATGTCATCAATCAGATGAAATCTGCCAGTGACATGTGGTTTACAGTAAGGATATCTCATGGTTGTTTGTTTCTAGTTGTTGGTTTTACCATGGAGGAAAGAAAGCTTCTTTCCTCCATGGTTCTACTTATACTTTGAAGGACTCTGAATTTTCCGCACTTCCTTAGGTACTGTAATCCTGTTTAGGTCAAAGGTCTCACTTGAGTACATTCCCTTGATTTCTATGACCTTGTTTGCATATTTCTCAATTGTAGCAGGCCTGCCAGAAGACTGTACACAGTGAAATGTAGGTGAGTGGCTCAGTGCCAGTGGGTGACTAAAGCCCACCGTTAGACAGGCCCAAACCTTGTGGCAACAACGCGTGGGACCAAAACATGAAAAAACGAAAACTAAATCTGTGTTATGCCAACCTAAAAGGGTCAGCATCCTGGACTCTGCCGAAATTGTCAAATAACAAAGGAGGTTTAGGTGGCTGACAAATGAGGTGCTTATTACCAGCCTTATTTTAAAAAGAATTATACTGTACCAACTGCAATCAGATAGCATGTTGGGGGAAGGTGGGTTGCAGAGGCAGGATCCCTTCAGACTGTCACCGACAATCATCAGACGGTGTCGCGTTGTCTATCACTCACAAAGAGCAGAGTTAGATTCGTTGTACGACGGTCATCACATTGTGTTCTTATAGAATCGTGTCCGCCGACCGTCGTGTACAGTGATTGCCCGGCTTAACTGTATAGTCTAAAGTTAAGTTATGTTAAATTAGGATGATGATAGGGGAGTCAGGGAGTTGAGGCATTAGTGCATGTAAGTTCAGATGATTTAATGGGAAAGAAGGGGTGTTTACAAATTTATAGAAGATAAAACATGGCTGTAAATAATTTTGCAGGTATTGTAGGTAAACATTGAGGGATCAAATAATCCAGCTTGTAGGTATATAGTACCATCTTTTCTCTGTGTATTAATATTTTATCTCCTTTCACGTAATATTCCCTAGATAAAGAGAATACATTTCTGTATATTCTGAGATAGCTACTATGTGATACATTTCTGTACCTCCATTACTGATTATTTTTGCTGCATGTACAGTCTGTACAGTACTGTATGGTGATAAATAATAATTAAATAAACCAGTAAATTAATTAGTAACCAATTCTCCATCTTTGTTAACACATGTCTAAGAATAAATCCATTTCTTTTTGTATTTTTTTTTCAGCTAGCATTGTTGTTTGGTGTTCAGTCAAGGTATTGAAACTTAATGGGTTCAGGGAATGTGAAGCCTGTAGCAAAGACACACAACCAAGTACAACTCAGTAATCAATCAAATACAATGCCTTGCCATTCATGTGATGCTCAGTTTTCAATAATCAGACGCAAAGTAAGTTTCTATGTTTTTCATTTTACTATTTATATTCTTTCTTTAAACTACAGGCATTTTCAGTACTTGTGTAATGGTTTTCAAAGTGGTACTTGTTACAAAACAAACATCAAAATGGAATGGAACTTTTCACATCTTTTTTTTCTTTAATATTTAAACAAAGTCATGAAATCACATGACCATAATTGGCATATCATAGATCCCATATCATTACTGTCGGCGTTCTCTAAAATTCTTGAGAAACTTGTATATATTGGAACGTTAAATTTCATCGTGTAACCTGATCTCTGATAACCAGTTTGGGTTTAGTTCAAAGCATTCCACTATTTATGCCATTTTGAATGTTGTTAATCATACCTTGGCTTATGATAACAAACAGCACACTGTGGGTGAACAGTATTCCTCTCGACCATGGTATTTTACTTTTGAAACTACATCTGGTATCTGAGGTAAGGCCTTGGAGTGGTTCTAGAGTTGCCTTGCAGACAGGATTCAATTTGTCTCTCATGTTACAACTGAATTTCGTATTATGTTTGCTTTGGAGTTCTGCAACCTTGTTCTCTTATTGGCCTGTTACTTTTCACTTTATTTATCCATGATTTCTACAATTCTCCCTTTCCTTTGTTTTATTTGCCTATGATTCTAATATATTTTTTCACATCACAATCCACCTACTCTAATTGACACAACAAACTCTGAGGTTACCCGTGTTGTGAACTGGATCATTGCCAATCGTTTAACTTTAAGCGTTAAGAAAACCAATTGGATGCTAAAGTATTTAGCAAGTCTTTTAAAAGTGTTTCAACTGGCCACATTCTTTGAAATTGCTCTGTTATAAACCATTGTATATATAACCAAGTTCCTAGGGATAACAATAGACGAAAAAGTCAGTTGGGGGAACACGTCACAAACTTATCAAAAGCCATCTCATGTAATACAGGCATAATTCTTAAACTCCGCTCTTCATTCCCTGAACACATACAGTACTTAAAACCATTTTACTCCAGTCTAGTGTTGCCATATCTAAATTATGGTAAGCTAGCCTATGGACAAAAAGCCCCTTAACAAAATTCTCCTCATTCAGAAACGGGCTGTTAGGGCTATTTGTGGTGTTGGATGGTGAGATTACACGGCAGAACTCTTTGTTAAATTAAAGTTGTTTAATATTTATGATTTATATGATTTTAATGTTGGCAATTTTATTTTTCTTGTTGAATCTGTAGCATTCCTACTGTACTGGCTAACAAATTTTTCAAGAATAAATATCCACAATTATTGTACTAGACAATCAAAACTGTAGGCCTACCACCAACTACAGTATTGTCTCGCACCTCCTCCCACTTAGGCAAGACTTTTTTTAAACCTTGTTTAGCGAACCCGCCGACTGCAAATATTGATGAATTTGAATAAAAATAAAATTTTATTTTTGGCAAGTTAGCACACCCGCCACTACGAACAAGTGTAAATTTCAGAAAAAAAATAAAAGTTTTTCTTTATTTTTATTTACGCCCTTGGCTGCCTTGAAATCTCCATCGGTAAAATATGTATATTTCTTCCTAATTATATAAATTTGAAGCATTGAACCATCCTATTTTACATTCACCAATAAAATTTTATTTTTATTTGCTCCTCCATGTGGATGGTTTTGGCAAAACTATTTGCTATTAAATATTAGAAAGCAAAATTTAATTTTTATTTTTATTCTGCCCTGCTCAGATGATCTTTAAAAAAAAAAAAGTACACGAAACAAGGAATAAAAAAAGTCTCGCCTTTAGTTACAATCTTCGTCTTTGGCCCTAAATACTGGAACTCCTTGCCTGGATCTCTACGGAACTGCTCCACATTCACCATTTAAACTTAACCATATATCTCATATTTATTCTTATTTTGATTAAACCGGTCTTGCAACTTTTGTTATCATTACTAATTTATTTTAACAAGCATTGCTTTGTTTATATAATTGCCACTTGTAAGCATATTGTAAATTAGTAGCTAAAGGCAAGTGAAATAATTTTGAATTTGAATCATGTTGACTATATATGAATACGACAGTTATTTTGTAAAATAAAATTTCAGAGTCTGAGCGTTAGAAATAATGTATCTGGGGTGTGGGTCAGCCCACTGAATGCAGATTACATATTTTACATTGATAGAACTACTATATAAAATCATCAAATTATCATCTATAAAGTACTGTCTTCAACTGTTCACAGATATTGACCATTGGCAAATCAAATCTTAGAGTCTGAACAAAGCTTTAGAAACAGGGGCGGATCCAGAGATGTCCAAAATTGGGGCCGAAAGTGGGACCAATCAAGATAATACTACCTTAGGGGGTCTGGGGGCATTCCCCCACAAAATGTTTATGTTCTAAATGCCCAAAAATAACCTCTGAGGCATTTTTTCTTTTTCTTTCTTTCTTTTTTTTTTCTTTTCTTTAACTTCTAAAGAGGGGGTGGGCTGTCACCGGTCATGTCCCCCCTCCCCCTTCCAAATATTACCGGTACATATTTTACATTGATAGAACTACTAATATATAAAATCATCAAACTATCATCTAAAGTACTATCTTCGATTGTTTATGGATATTGACCATTGTGTATTTTACCGTTTCTCTCATGCCTAAAATACAATTGTACAGTATGACCATTTTGGCTATCCACATTTGATTCTAAACTTTTCAATTTCAAGATATTGTATGAAACCTCTTTTAAGTAATTATTAGAAATAATAGATATATTGACAATGATGATAATAATAATACTTGAAAATAATAAAGACAATGAAATTAAAGAACTTGTGTCTAATATACTGCAATTTATATTATGGTAGATTTGTGTTTTCAGAATGGTTTCATATATGCTCTTTTATTCTTTATCTATCGCTAGCATGAATGCGTAGACTGTGTCAAGTTGTTCTGCAACAACTGCATCAACAAGAAAGTAAAAGACAAGAAGATATGTCGTGTTTGCGAAACGGTAAAGCAGGATATGGCACGGCCTGCACTCATGAAATTAAAAATTCGCGACCTTCAGCAGTACTTAACAGTTAGACATGTTTCCACTGAGTCCTGTAAAGAAAAGACTGACCTTGTTGATCTACTCATTGAAAATTTGATAGAGAATGGCTTGATACCTCGTCCAACCCCAGTGCAGCATAGTGTGTTTGGGCCCCCTGTAGGAGAGAGTATATCGTTCACATCTAACCCGAATTCTACATCCTCTTCGGATGCTTCCGACCCAGTGAGTCAACAAGATGCCTTACACTCAAACATTCCAGAGAATTCCAGGGACATAAGAAATGATTTTACTGCAGACGAAAATGAAACACTTGAAAAAACACAACAGGTGAGAGGGGAACCCATGTTTTTGTACCTGTAGAAAGATTCTGGATTTTAAAAATGTATGCAGTAGTCC